GGGGTCTTTGAGCTGCTGGGGTGTTGCGTGTGGCCATTGTCACCCCTCCCCCTTTGCCAGGGAACGGGCTGAGCTGACTGTCCCAGATCCTCCATGTTTGTGCCAAGGTTACTTAAATTCTGTTTTACTGGTTAATAGTTTGTAAGACTTTACTGTGCAAAGAATTTTATGGCTTAACAGGAAAAAAAGATTAAAAATGTGCTATCTTACTGAAACAGCCTCAGGTTTGGAATGAGACTTGAATGTGATTTTCTAACTTTGAGTCAAATTCCAATCTGTGGCAAGTCACTTTGCTTGTTCCTTCCTCATGCATTTTATTTGAGTGCTTAGATAGTAATGACTGGTAATACTTTGTGTGGGTATTTTGTAATCTACTCAAAATAACTTTATATACAGTAAGTTTCTTCTTATGATAGTAACAGGGGACAAAACAGTGTTCAGTTTTTGGAAGAAAGAAGCAAGACTATAAAGCAGTTTTATTTTTATTTTTATTTGTTTGAGACTGGCTTATTTCACTAAGCATAATGATCTCTAGCTGCATCTATTTTGTTGTGAAAGACAGGATTTCATCCTTTTTTTAACGGCTGAGTGGTATTCCATCATGTGTGTGTGTGTATATATATATATATATATATATATATATATATATCACCATTTCTGTATCCAGTCACCAGCTGATGGCATCTGGGTTGATTCCACATCTTAGCGATTGTGAATTGAGCTGCTCTAAACATGGGGGCAGAGATAACTCATATGCTGACTTATTGTTTGTTCATTTGTTTGTTTGAAAGGCAGAGTTACAGAGAGGCAGAGGCAGAGAGAAAGGTCTTCCATCTGCTGGTTCACTTCCCAGATGGCTGCAATGGTCAGAGCTGCATCATTTCGAAGCCAGGAGCCTGGAGGTTCTTCTGGATCTCCCACAGGGGTGCAGGGGCCCAAGGACCTGGAACGTCTACTGCTTTCCCAGGCCACAGCAGAGAGCTGGAGTGGAAGTGGAGCAGCCGGGACATGAACTGGTACCCATATGAGATGCCGGCACTGCAAGTGGTGACTTTACCTGCTATGTCACAATGCCGACCCCTATAAAGCACTTTTAAATGGATGGTTTCAGTCTAATGATAGAGTAAGCTACAAGAATAAATTTTTCTATAGCAGAGTCATATTATTGAAAAATCTCATATACATTTGGGTCTCTAGCATATCAATAATTAAACAAAATTGTCAAATAAATATTGTAACAGTCCTCTTCTCCTTTTTCTTTCCAAATGGGCACTTTGACATTTTGTGCTGCCTGACAAATACATTTAGGGTAGAGAAGTAAACTGTCTTTCAGACCTGAAGGGGTGGCCAAACAGTGTTGGCTCTTGTAAGATGACATAAAATATGTACTTTGATTAAAAGAAAATGTCAAAAGGGGGAATACTGAGTTTTCCTCTTGACTGTAGTCAGTAGCCATGAAGCAAAGATTGAGACCATGAGAAGTTAAAAATAGTGTATAGAAAATCCCCCAAATCCCCTATCACTTAATAGTACAATGTTCTCTTGGCATATTTTATACAGAAGCAAAACTTCTCTGGTGTGTACATTGAATTCCATGCCTGTTTATCCTTTTTTATTTTTAAAAAAGTTTCACTTAAAGATTGAGAGGGAGAGTGAGAATGGGGGAGAGAGAGAGAGAGAGAGAGAGAGATTTTCCCCCTGCTGATTCATTCCTCTAATGCCTATAACAGCTAATGCTGGGCCAGGCTAAAGTGAGGAGCCTGGAACTCGTGTAGGTCACCCATGTGGGTGGCAGTGACCCAAGCACTTGAGCCATTGCTACTGGCCTCCCATGGTGCACATTAGCATGAAGTTGGATTGAAAGTGGAGTGAGGACTTGAACCCAGCTCTCTGATATGGAATGGGGGCATTCAAACCAATTTTTTAACTGCTATGCACAATGCTCAGCTCTATATTTTGATTCATTAATTAAAAAATTATGATACAGGTCTCATGTAACAAAGATTTATGTTGTGAACTTGTATTTAATCTCTCATTTCAGTTTAAGGGTGTTGCTAGTACTTTATGATTGTATTCCCTGCCTTAATCCCTGAGTTAAAAACCATTCTAATTTTGTGTTCATCACTCCCTTCCTATTTCAGTTTCATTACCTAAGTATGAATTCTTAGATACTTTAGTTTTTGCCCTTCATTAATAGTATCTTCTGTGGTTTGGATGTGGCTGGACTTCCAAGGGTGCATGTGCTGGAGACTTGGTCTCCATGAGGCAGTGTTGAGATGACAGGATTTTTAAGTTGGAGGTTGTTCGGTCATTGGGTACTGCCCTCAGAAAGGATTAAGGTAGTTCTTGGGGGATCCCAGTTCTTGTGAGAGAGACTTGTTAGAAATGAGTGATTTGTTGCATTTCTTGTAAATTGTGACTTTGTTTTTAATATCTTTATGTTGTTATTTGCTGAGGATAAGGTCTTGGTTGTAATGCCACAATTTTGTCTATTTCATGGTTTGTTGTTTATAGATTATGCTAGAATGTCTTCCCTGCCATAAATTTTGGAGATATTGACATATAAAAATTGAAGTTTGCTTTTTCCAGTTAATTCTTTATTCCACCTGGAATTAAATTTTGTATAGGCCGGCGCCGCGGCTCACTAGGCTAATCCTCCGCCTAGCGGCGCCGGCACACCAGGTTCTAGTCCCGGTCGGGGCGCCGGATTCTGTCCCGGTTGCCCCTCTTCCAGGCCAGCCCTCTGCTGTGGCCAGGGAGTGCAGTGGAGGATGGCCCAGGTGCTTGGGCCCTGCACCCCATGGGAGACCAGGAAAAGCACCTGGCTCCTGGCTCCTGGCTCCTGCCATCGGATCAGCGCGGTGCGCCGGCCGCAGCGCGCTGGCCGTGGCGGCCATTGGAGGGTGAACCAACGGCAAAGGAAGACCTTTCTCTCTGTCTCTCTCTCTCACTGTCCACTCTGCCTGTCAAAAAAAAAATAAATAAATAAATAAATAAATAAATAAATAAATTTTGTATAAATTGTGAAGTACAGGTCTAATATTATTCCCCAAATGGGTAACATGTATTCCACCACTAGTTTTCGAATGCTTTCTTGTTCCATGGTCTGCAATATCACTGTCTGGGCTTTCATTTCTATTCTGTTGATTTTAACACTTCTCCCCTCTTCATGCCCAGGTATAGAGGCTGAAGTTAATCTTTATGTATGGCTCAGTTGATAGTAATTACTATTACTGGTTTCACACATGCTCTTCTGTTTTTCCTCTCTTCATGTGTCTGTCCCTCCCTTTCTTTGTTTTAAATTTGATTCCCACTCCCATTGACCTTCCCTTCCTATAGACAGTCTTTCTGAAGCATTTAAAGTGTATCTTTTTGCTTACATAGACACACCCCCCACACACACACAACACACACACACACACACACAGCTTTATTGAGCTATAGTTTATATATAATAAAATCCAATCATTTGTACACTTGATCTTAGCCAAAAGGCCGAAAAACGATCATCATTTGTATGTAATCATGTAGCTATCACCACTGTCAATACAGGACATTTCCATCACCCCTCAAAATTCCCCGATGGGCCTTTGTGTTCAATCTGTTTCCTCTTCCCCTAGCTTCTGGCAATGGCTGATTTGATTTCTGTCCCTTTGTTTTCTCTTTTTATGGAAATTCATATAAATAGCATCAAATTACAGTCTTGTGTGTCTGTTTTTCACTTAGCCCAGTGCTCTTTGAAATACACCTGTGTTGTTGACTCAGTTGTATTTTCCTTCTTATTGCTGAGTAGGATTTCATTACATGGATATGGCACTATTTATTTATTTATTCACCAAGAGTAATTTGGATGGTTATTGTGAATAAAGCGCTCTAATTTGGAGGGTTATTGTGAGTAAAACTTATATGACCATTATCTGGAAGACTTATGTGGACATACATCATGAGTGTTGTAGGTAAATACATAGAAGGGAGATTTTTAGGTTGTACTATAAGCACATAATAATCTTTATTCAAAATTGTCAATGTGTTTTGCAAAGCAGTTTTATAATGTGTAGACTAGAATGAGGATTCTAGTATGAACCCTCACCAAAAAAATAATATCAGTCTTTTTAAGTTTTGTAATTCTATTGGCTGTCTTGTGGTGTCTTACCATGGTTTTTGCATTTCCTTGATGACTATTTATAATGATTTTTTTCCCTTATGAGTTGTTGGGCATCTTAACGTAAGATATTGTCTTTTTTGGGGGGGATATTAAGGTAAGATATTGTCTTTGGGGGGGGGGGCAAGGCCAGGCTTGGTTTTTTTTTGTTTTTGTTTTTGTTTTTTGTGTTTTTTTTTTTTTTTTTTGACAGGCAGAGTTAGTGAGAGAGATGAGATAGAGAGAAAGGTCTTCCTTCTGTTGGTTCACCCCGCAAATGGCCGCCACCGATCCGAAGCCAGGAGCCAGGTGCTTCCTCCTGGTCTCCCTGGTCTCCCATGCGGGTGCAGTGCCCAAGCACTTGGCTTTTTTTTTTTTTTTTTTTTTTTTTGACACGCAGTTAGTGAAAGAGAGAGAGAAAAAGGTCTTCCTTCCGTTGGTTCACCCTCCGAATAGCCGCTATGACCGCTGCACCACACCAATCCGAAGCCAGGAGCCAGGTGCCTCCTCCCGGTCTCCCATGTGGGTGCAGGGCTCAAGCACTTGGGCCATTCTTCACTGCCTTCCCGGGCCACAGCAGAGAGCTGGACTGGAAGAGGAGCAACCAGGACAGACTCCAGCGCCCCGACCGGTACTAGAACCCGGTGCCGGCACCACAGGCGGAGGATCAGCCAAGTGAGCCGCGGCAGCGCCCAGGCTTGGTCTTTACTGGTCTGACTCCCAGCACACACCGGGGAAAGGAGTCGGGGCAGGGGTTGGGTGGGCAGTGGCAGGGAGAGGCCTGCTGGGGTGCCCCGAGGCCCTGGCTGGGTAAGGCATGGACTTGGGGTTCCCTGGGGTCTCGCTCAGGCTTATCCTCTCACTTGGCTCTGGGCTTGGGCCTGGGTCCTTCCTGGCCCCTGCAGGGCCGCTGCTTCCTCCGCCTGCCCGAGTCCTTGGCAGCTCGGCCCCGTGCCCGGGGCAGGGTGCCGGACCCCGAGGAGTCAGAGAAGGACTTGTCCAGGGACGTGTCCAGCGCGGACTCCGGGGCCGTGTCCTCCTCGTCCCCGGGGCGGCTGGAGCCATGGCCGTGAGCAGCTGGGTCCTCGGGCCCCTCGGCCGTGCTGTCGGCCTCCACCCGGTGGACGACACCCAAGCCTGCAGGGTCCTCCTGCTCCCGCCTGGGACTCTCGGCTCCAGGGGGCTTCTTGCAGGAGAACTCGAGCAGCTTGAGAGCCTGGTCGTCCCCCAGAGTCACTGGCCAGGCCCCCATGGAGGGCAGGGTGCTCGGGGCGTCCTCGCCGGCCAGGAAGTGGAAAAGACCCAGCCGGACCTCCTGCAGCTGCTGTGGGACCTGGAGCTGCCCTCCCAGGCCGCGGGGCTCAACCTGGAGACCCAGCCGGACCTCCTGCTGGGTCTTTTCCACTTCCTCCAGCACGTGCGGCAGCAGCGTGACGCGGCCCAGCAGGGACGTGGTCTCCGTGAGCTTCGGCAGCGTGCTGATCTTGAAGCCGTCCGCGTCCCGCATGTGGCTGCCCTAGTTGAGGAAGTCCCCGATCTTGAGGATCAGCCTGCGGAAGACGGGCAGCTGGGGGCTGGCGAGCAGGCTCTCGCAGGCGTGCAGCACCAGCTGGGCCTTGGGCCGCACCATGTCCAGCACGAAGGCTGTGCCCTCACCCAGCAGCATGCACACCACCCGCAGCTGGCAGCAGGGGACGTCCAGCAGCAGCAGGTAGAACTGGTCCGCGCCGGCCGGCCTGGCTCAGTCGTCAGCGAAGGCCCGCAGGTTCTCAATCTCGCGTTTCGCCGGGAGCAGCTTCAGGAGCTGTCTGAGCACTTCCGTGTCAAACCTGCTGGTGTCTCCCGCACGGAGCATGGCCACCACCTTCTCGTTGGAGCACTTAAACTGCTTCAGGAAGATGCTGAGGTTCAGGCTCTTCCTGGAGTACAGAAAAGTGACCTCCTTGGGCTCCTTCCTGCCGGGGCGGCTGCTGGCTCCTTGGGCTTGTCCACAGAGAAGGAGAAGAGCCGCTCGAGGCTGCCGAAGTCGGGCTCCAGGGCTCCAGGGCCGCGCTGCCCAGGCCGCTCAGGGCCGCCCACTTGGAGTTGCGCTCTCGGGCCACGCTGGACAGCAGCTTCTTCCAGTTCAGCTTCTTCATGTGCAGCGTGGGTGAGTTCACGCGCCGGTGGCTGGGGACCCAGGCGGAGCCCAGGCCGTGGTCCACCTGGGACACGATGACCTCCTCCACCCCATCTGCTCCAGGGGGAGCAGCGGGGGCGGGGGCGGGGGCCCCCTGCTGTTACAGGCAGTGGGTTTGAGGTTGGGCCACAACAGCTGAACCAAACGAAAAAGGTGGGGTTGGGGGCACAGCCAGTACCAGGCAATTAGAAACGGGGGTGGAGGGAGCAGCCTATACCACACCAAACACACAACCACGGGCATCCCATGACCGGGAGGGGGGATGGGGGAGGGGGCACTGGGGGACACATGGCCCCCTGACTTGGGAGAGGGGGTGGAGGAGGGGGAGGGGGCACTAAGGGACATGTAGTCCCCTGGCCTGGGGGAGGGGGAGGGGGCATAAGCACCAAGTGCTTCTCTTTTTCTTATTGAATTGTAAATGTTTATATATTTTTTAGTAAAAGTCATTTATGTTTTGTGAATATTTTCTTCCAGGATATGAGTTATCTTTTTATTTTTAACAAGCAAAATGAAAATATTTTCATGTATCAAATACAGTTATTGTTTCTTTTCATTTCTTTTTAAACATTTATTTGAGAGGCAGAGTTACAGGCAACAAGAGAGAGAGGCAGAGTGAGATGTTTTCCATCTGCTGATTCACTCCCCAGATGACAGTGGTTGGAGCCGGGCTGATTCAAAGCCAGGAGCCAGGAGCTTCTTCAGGTCCTCCCATGTAGGTGCAGGGGTCCAAGGACTTGGGCCATCTTCTACTGCTTTCCCAGGCCATAGCAGAGTGCTGGATTGGAAGAGGAGCAGCTAGGACTTGAGCTGGTACCCATGTGAGATGCTGGAGGAGGCTTAACCTACTATGCCACAGCACTGGCCACAAAGTTTGTTTAATGGTCCATGTTTCTTCACCATATCTCAGAAATTACTTTTTTTAAACTCAGGTTCACAAATATGTCCTCCTGTGTTTTCATCCCAGAGTTTCATACTTGGAGCATTTGAATTTGATCTATCTTGAATTATTTTTTAATATGGTATGAGGTTGAGTTTGAGATTCACTGTTTTCTCATATGAATATCTAGTTATTTCAGCTCCATTTCTTGAAAAGCCCATCATTCTTCCAGTGTAATACTTCAGTTTCTTTGTTGAAAATTAATTGACCATAAATGCATGAATCTATTGTGGAATCACTGTTTTGTTTTATTGATCTACATGTCCATTCTGTTTGAATGGACTGATTATTGTAGCTTTATAATAAGTCTTAAAAACTATTTTCTTTTAAAAATTGTTGTAGCTATTCTAGGTTCTTTGCCTTTCCATGTAACTTTTAGGACTAGCTTGAAAATTTCTGTACAGGAAGTCTGCTGGGATTTTAACAATATCGAGACTTCCATCTATGAAGTGATGTATTTCTCTTTAGGTTTTCTTAGTAAAGATTTTTAGTATAATTTACTTACCAACTATTTATTGCTAACATATAAAAACGCATTTCATTTCTGTATGTTGAACCTGTGGCCTTGCTATAAACTTCCTTACGAGTTCTAGTACCACTTTTGTGAATTTCTTCAAATTGGATTGTGCCATTTGTGGGGAACATAGTTATTCCTTTTTTCCTCAGTTTTGTTTTCTTTGTTACCCTGACCAGACACAATATTGAATAGAATTGGTGAGGAAGATTTCTTAATAAATGCATTTCATCAAATTGAAGTTTCTTTGTAGTACCATTTGGCAGAGAATTATTTCATGAAAGCGTGTTGAATTTTGTGAAATGCATCATTTAAAATGATCATACAGCTTGTTAATATTGTTAATTACATTGATTTTTTTTAAATGTCAAACCAGTCTTGAATTCCTGGGATAAACCTCACTTATTCATGATATATTGTCCTTCCTATAAATTGCTAAATTTGATTTTCTAAAATTTTGTTGGAGATTCTTAACATTTTGGTGTTTTTGTTTTCTTTCTGTTGCCTCTATAAGAGACCTTAGATTTAGTGGATTGGGACAGTTCAGGTTGATTCTCTTACAGTTCTGAAGGTGGAAGTCCAAAAGCCATTTCATGGTAATAAAATCAAGCTATTATCCACAGCAGAGCCTTACAGATGTCTGTGAGAGGAGAAGCCTTTTCTGTAAGTTTTTCAGTTTTTTGTGACCTCACTCTCCATCTTCAGAGTGCATCACTCCAGTGTCTGCCTGTGTCATCACACTGCCTCCCCATCCCATTCAGACTTCTGCTGGGTCTCCCTCAAGGACTGTTGTGGTTGCATTTGTCCCAGCTGGATAAACCAGGGAAGCTTCCTCCTTGGAAAACCCTGCATTCAGCTCATCCAGAGTCCATTTTGCAGCAAGTTCCACAGATTAGCTTGAGGCACACATGTACCCCGTGTTCTATGAATGTCATTATTTCTTCAGGCTTTTCATAGTTTTGGTATCATGCTAATGCTGACCTCTGAAAGCCAGTTGAGAATGGTTTTCTCCTTCTGTCTTCTGAAAGTGTGTGTGTGTTGAGCTGGTATAATTTTTTTTAAGTGCTTGGTAGAGTTCCTCAAGTGCAGCCATCTAGTCCTTAGAAAATCTTTCCTGATTCTCTATATTTGTCCCTTTTGAGTTACTACAGTGAAACCCCTGAGGCAGGCTAACGCTGTAAAGAAGAGAGCTTTATTTTGGCTCAGAGTTCTGGAGGTGCAAGGTCTGGAGGCCTTGCCTGGGGATGGCCTTCTAGCTGGCAGGGTCCTGAGGTGGTGCAGCGCCAGACAGGGAGCACGCCTAGCTCTGTCATGGTGAACTTATCTAACTGAACCTAATCGTTTTCTAAAAACTCCACACCCCATCCTGCAATTTAAGTTTCTACCCTCTTAATCCATTAAACAGGTGACTCTGAAACTCCTGCATGCGTGCATGAGTGGGAGGAGCTGGACTGGGAGGGACAGATCATGTTTATGCCATAGCAGCCTGTGGTCTGCATCAAGGTCGGGCCTGTTGGTGACTTTATTAAATACTCTATACCTTTCCCTCAGAGCATTCGACACAACTTGTAGTCTTACACACGTATACTAATCAGCTTTTCATTTCTCTAACTACACACCCGTGTGGCTCTTTAGGAAGAAGGTTTATGTAGGCTTGCAGGCTGGAGGTTCACCATTCTGTCAGGTGGCCCTATTGACTCGGCATCTGGTGAGGATGACAAAGCCGTGGAGGGAAGTTCACATGGCGAGCCAAGAAGCAGGGAGATAGAGGGAGCACGCTCCTCATCTACCCTCCTGTGGTTTCTTCTTTCATGAAGTCATCATGATTGGATCACTGGACACCATCCTAGCAGCCTGATCCAATCAGTCAGTTCCCAAAGACTGTGCCTTCAGACACCATAGTTAGATCAAGATTCTACCTTAATCTAGCCATTAACATAAGCCATTGGGATCTACATATCTGTTTTAGTTTTGTTCAACCAGAACATGTTTGTGTCATTATTTCTTTACTACTGTCTGTCTCCTTCCTTGGGTTTAAGGAGAGAGAGAACATGTATTCTCTTTCACCGATGAATCCCCAGCGACTCTCATAAGTATCTGGCAGGTATTATGTTAGTTTGTACTGTGTGTGTGTGTGTGTGCGTGTGTGTGTGTGTGTGTGGTGTGTGTGTGTGATGAGTAGCTATGTTCCTGTCCTTGGAGATGTCCCAGTCGTCTTATGATTCATTCTCTCTTCCCTGTCTTCGGTTACACTAACTCAGGTTGATTTCTTTTTCTGGGTCTCTGAAAGTGTCTTAGAAATAGAGTGGTGAAGATGCTCCTTGGGGCCGGTGCCGCGGCTCACTAGGCTAATCCTCCGCCTAGCGGCGCCAACACACCGGGTTCAAGTCCGGGTCGGGGCGCCGGATTCTGTCCCGGTTGCCCCTCTTCCAGGCCAGCTCTCTGCTGTGGCCCAGGAGTGCAGTGGAGGATGGCCCAGGTGCTTGGGCCCTGCACCCCATGGGAGACCAGGAGAAGCACCTGGCTCCTGGCTCCTGCCATCGGATCAGCGTGGTGCGCCGGCCGCAGCACACCGGCCGCGGCGGCCATTGGAGGGTGAACCAACGGCAAAAGGAAGACCTTTCTCTTTGTCTCTCTCTCTCTCACTGTCCACTCTGCCTGTCAAAAAAAAAAAAAAAAAAAAAGATGCTCCTTGGGACACCTGTGCCCCATACTAGGATGTCTGGGTTCACGTCTTGGTTCTGCTTCTGATTTCAACTTCCTGCTAATGTGCATCTTGGGAGGCTGCAGATGATGGTTAAGTATTTGGGTCCTGCCACTCATATGGGAGACCTGGCTGGAGTTCTAGGCTCTGGGCTTCAGCTGACCCATCCTTGACTATTGCTAGCAGATGGAAAACCTGTTTCTCTCTTGCACATGTGCACACTCTCTGTGTCAAATAAAATGAAAGCAAATTAAGAAAAAAATAAATAAAGGCTAATAGTTTGTAGAATAGAACCTATAGGTTTACAGTTAAATCCAGACAACCATGAGGTTCTAGTATCTTGAGAAAGATGGGAGAATACAGGGAGATGAAGAAACCAAGTGTTGGGCTTTTAGCTCTATTCATTCTGCTCAGTCCTGCCCTGACCAGGGTCTGTCCTCGGGTTGCCCTGCTAGGCAGGCAGAAAAATGAGCAAGGCCAAGAAAGGACCATCAGACACCTTGAGCCCAAAAGAGTAGGAGCTGTCTGCAGCGTCGTTTCCTGTGGACATGCTGATGTCTGCAGCTTTGCTGCTGTAGGTCCTTGTGTGGCTGCTTTCTTTCTCTCACCCTGGCTGCTGGTCTTCATCTGCTGGTCTTCATCCTCTCCTGATGATGGACACACAATCGCAGTCTCAGAGACTGTGTAAACATACCTTCAAATGTAGTAGACCGATGATGAAAAAATCTCTTCCATCTATGTCAACTAAATTTATTGAAAATGGAAATGAAGATCAGTTCGGATAATAGCTTTTCTTCCTGGCACCTTTTTCTCCTTAGGAATTCTTATAGATTCTCAATTTCCCTAACTTGGCTGGCTTCGGATGGTTTCAGTCTGGGTAGAATGTGCCAGTGGTCCCTGCAGCCAGACTCACCTAGCTCATTGCTGTAGCTCTGAGATCAGTCACCAACTTCCAAATCTTGAACGTTTGCAAGGAATTCAGACATCTCCAGAGAAGAAAGTCAGCGAAAATAAATGTATTCTCAGATGCCCTTTGCTCACTCTGTTTGACAAATGTAGATTCTGTTGTTTGAAATACTCTCAGGTCTGATAGGAAGTGTCCCCTGGTGGTATCTCTGAAGGAAATAAAGCCTGGATTGTCACACCCTGCCCCGCTGTTTATGAAATGACATACATTTGAAATGAAAGACTCACTAAGTCATCTGATCCTCTTTGCTGGGACAGA